TATTTCTCGCCAACACGTTTTCGAAATGATTTTTCTCTTTTTGTGTCTATACTTACTTAAATGAATGTATGTGTACGTGAGGGGAAAAAAAGAAAAAGAAAAAAAAAACTCTTATTCTTTTTAGTTTTAACGCCGGTGAATATTGGGAGTACCTACATGGGTACTTATAGTAATTAACTATAACCCGAGGAGAGCGTGGAAACATCTATACTTTTCGATTTTGATATGAAATTGCGAGTATCGTATGTAAGGTGGAATAATATGCGAGAGGAAATGAAAAAATTCGTTCGACAGGTGCAATTTATTTGTGCGCAATTATATTAATTAGTTGATCGGTAGAGTGTCTACATCCGATTGATGGTATATGTGGTTCCGTTTTTTTTTTTTTTTTTTTGCACCGCAACGACTCGTCTTTTAGTGATTTGTTTGTCGAAATTCATCCCAAAAGACTTGACTCCTCGAGGGAATCGACTTCAGTGATTAAAAGTGCGGTAGTTGACAAGTAGGCTGTACTCGTTTCACCACGCGAATTTAAACGTGGTAAAAAAAAAAATAAATAAACGTATTCCAGCTTTTAAAATTAAAAAAAAAAAAAAAAAAAAAAACTACGTTAAACTATTTGAATCATTGTCTTGAAAAGGGTTTGGATTTTCAGTCCAGAAGAATATAGGATAATGAAATTTCTCAAAAAAATATACGTTATTATTTTCACACACTCACACTGCTGTACTTGAATATTTTTACCGTTTTTATGCAGTAAACAAATAGCTGTTTTCTCTCCTAAAACAAACAAGGCACTCGTTGTAAAACAGTCGTGTCTTGAAAAAAAAAAAAAAAAAAAAAAAAAGGTCCTTGTATTATTTACCTCCTTTTCGTATAGAAAGAAAATTGGAATGAAAGAAAAAGGGAGAAAGAAACTGTGCAAGCCAGTACGAGTATATTACACTCGAGCCTCGAGACGTTAAATAATGCGTCTTGAGATTTATCGTAATACTTTTGATATAATGTTAGTGGTGAGCAGGAGGCCGTGCATCTCCGTCCCAACCCTCTATTCTTACACCATCTCACTTCCCGTATATAACGTACAGTATATTTATATATACCACGAGATAGACTTTTTCCGCAGTCGCAGGACTAACTCTCGTAACTCACGCACAACTTTTGCCAAAACTTGGCCCCTTTGCCTCTGGCCATCCTCTCACTTTGGGCGCGATCTGCTTTTAAATTCGTCCGCACCCACCGTGACTTTTCCACTTTGGCGCCGATGTTTATCGTTCATTACTTGCACGAGCACCCGATGTAAAATAGCACACGTAAGACGACAAGGGTCGAGGAGAAGAGGCCTAACTTTGAAGTATCCAGCGACAGAATTTACGTTTTCATTTTTTTTCTTCTCTTTTTCTCGAGATTTAAACATATTATTTGGTTTATCATTTATTTGATAAAAATTCGTTATGGGATTTTCCAATCATTAAATACTGGTAACTATACCTATGAGTCAGAGATGGGCTGTTAAACGACAATTATTGTTTCGTTGCTTCGGATACGTCTTTATAACTCGCAAATTTCATTCAAATACTTACAACGTGAGGTTGACTTCTTTTTCTTACATACAACATATGATACCCGAGAGCGGAGAGATAAGTAGTATTCGTTTTATTGTTTGGGATAATTTAGTGTGACGATTACGCTTATTTCCTAATGTCACAGTTAAGCACTGACAGAATTTATATCGTACGTAGACGCACGTGAACTGCATGTATAAAATATAAGGTGTACACAACACAAGCTCATGCCAAAGGGAAGCCTCGAAATAATTGCGTCGGAAGCTCGTTTCACGCAAGAGCTTCTGTTTCTGATTATTTTATGCGAAGCAAGACTCTCTAGACTCAGTTAGGTGAAATTCAAGCGCCAAGTTTCTCGCACACGTACCCAACCAAACGACTTGTTCTGCAGATTTCGATTAGTTAACACAGTCGCTTTTATTTTATTATTTACTTATTTTTCGAAGCACATCTTGTACAATTAGTCACGGTAATTTTCACGATTAAAATTAAAAAGAAAAACAAATAAAAACATGTACCCTCGAGGGGAAAGGAGAAGAGAAAATTAACGCTACACGTGTTTCTACAGGATGGGTAATAATTAGCGATTTCGTTAAGTCGAAAAATAAAATAATCCATTTGCCAAATAAGGCGCAATAAGGTCGAAAATTAAACGAGTCCGGAGCAACCGAGCGCACGCCCAGGGGGAAAACATTTAGCGATGCAACCGCGAATTACTCTCTCGGGGGGATGCATTTATAATAAATCTGTCGTGCGCACTCTTCGCAATTTTAATTAGCAGAGGTTTCCGTAGATACGCTGCGAGTAACGCAGAAAGACTCGTACCATAATTTATTAGCTCTCTTGTGATACATCTACGCCTTACTATCGATTATTGATGTTTTTTAACCACCGTTAATGTTTCAGCGACCGATATGTTATTCAAAAAATTCAAGTAAAAATGAATCTGCAATGCAGTATAAAAATAATTAAAGAACCTATACTTCTTATGTTAATTTTTGAAGTGTCTTTATATTTTTGAAAAATAACCTTTACATAGTTAAGCTTTACAGCTACATACAATTTAAAATAGTAAAATCTACTTGGATAAACATTTAACGCTTTTTGGTACAAAATTAGGTAGGCTATATTATACAAAGAAAGTTCTCACCTTGGATAGGAAGTTGAACAGTTCATAGGTGTAACTCTCATGTCTTTTGCATACAATTCCTTACAGTTTAAAAGTTTATAACTAAGCATAGTGCTTTTACATCAGTCCCTGAGTAAAATTACAGAATATTGAGTACTTTATTTTTAAAATTAAAATTGTTATAAAATAAACATATTTTAGAAAGATATACCTGCATCAGCTTCAATAATTCAAAAATAAGTAATTTGTAATTGTTGTTGACAAGCCAAGCAAATGACGTACAATGTAATCAGCCAATAAGAACAGTTTTTACAAGATTCAGCTATTATGATGAATATTTGATACTTGATAGCTCAATCCTCAAAAATTCAGGTCTGTCCATAACTAAGTAGAAAAATAAGTTGATACATAATTTATTTTCAATGCAGCTCCTTATTTTTAGTAATGTTACTTATATCTAAGCGTTTAGTTGGGTAATACGCATAGTTGCACAACATTGGGAGAGTAGGTAAAGGACCTTTATCCAGATTGTCAACATAAGTGATTTCATCTTGACAGAATAAGTAGTATTTCCAGCCAATGGTCACAATGTATTATTTGTTGGGATTTCTTTTCACACTGCGTATAGACCCTTGATCAGGGTAGTGAGTAGTGAGTATTTTATCAAGTAGATGATAATATGATCGTGCAAAATTTGTGGATTGCAAGGGTGATAGTTTGAGGAGGTTATGAGAATGAAAATTTGATAACAAGAATCACGGGTCCATTGAGGAATTTAAATGAATTTTTATATGAATTTTTATATGAAAAATGGTCGTGAAAACAAAACCATTGTAACGTTGCTAATTTTCAACTTTTAATTTTACAATCCTTGATCTGCAAAGCTTTAATTACCTTTAAAACGAACGCTTTTTGAGTACAAAATAAGAATCTGTAATTTCTGTAATGTAACATATGAAGCACTCCCGTGTCCTAAGCAGGTGGTACCTAATCACGGCAACTTGAGCTCCCGAATTTCATGGAGGAGCTCTTTATCGAAAAATCAATCACTTAGTAAACGTATCTATTAATTAACAAATAAACAAAAAAAAGTTACGTTACGTACAATAATGTACCGCCTATAGTTATACCACCTAAACCAAAACCGCTTTTATATAGTCGGTCAAGTTGACGCCTAACCCAACGCTGCACTAAAAAAGTCCTAAAACTCTCAGAAAATTCTCCGCCAGACAGAGCTAGTGGTAGAATTCACTAGGCTAAGGCACACACACTAACACCCTAGGGTCCCTAGCCACTAGCGGCGCTAGTACATTTTAGGATCAGCGCCATCTAGCGTTGTGGATTTCGCGGGCTGATGCAAACTATTTTCTAGGGGAACCGTCTTGAAAAAGTCCCTAGATTCTAGGGATTTTTAGAAGCAGTAAATCACTAGGCGTGTATATAGATATACAGTAGGTCAAAAATCGCCAACGTGAAGGGTCTATTTGCGTGTTTCGAAATACGCAATACTGTGCGGAATTGATGGTCACATGCATATTAAAATTTAATAAAATAAATCAGAAAAGGTAACAAATATCCCCCACACATGCCACGCGTTGGTTGTGTTGCGTTTATATTGAAGCTCCATCGAAAGCTCGAGAAGCACACAATTAGACCCCATATATATATATAGACATTGTCGGTCATCGGTGGCGTCAGTCAACTGTCGGTACAGCAGGGCCGATATTTTTGTTGATGTACCGACAGTTGGCAGACTCGCTTGAACTGCAGGTCTCTATCTTATCTCGAGTTGACCGTCGGTACATCAACAAAAATATCGGCCCTGCTGTACCGACAGTTGACTGACGCCACAGGCCGACGACTCCGACGAGCTTTGGGGGTCTATATATTTGCGTCTATATTCGCGGCGATGCATGTGTGGGTAACATTTTTGTTACATTTAGTATTTTTAGTATGCATATACTATGCATGTGACCATTAATCCCGCACCGTATTGCGTATTTCGAAGCACGCAATTAGACCCTTCACGTCGGCGATTTTTGACCAACTATAGTATATCTGTATATATCTAGTGATTTGCTTCTGCCGTAAGTCCCTATAATCTAGGGACTTTTTCAAGACGGTTCCCCTAGAAAATAGTTTGCGTCAGCTCGCAAAATCCGTAACGCTAGATGGCACTGTTTGCTTGTTAAGTGTGGGATACTGGGATATCGAACTATATACATAAACATGTTATTTATTCGACAATCACATAACCTCTCAACTAGCGGAAGGATTCCAAAGGTGCATTGAATATCACGTGCATCGATTAATTGTGACTTTTGAGACGTGTATTCGTGTTGTGATGACAATAAATTAGTTGAAGTTCTTTTTGTAACCCAAAAATGCAGCACGACGACGTAAGTGTGTTTATAATTGAGATACAGCCTTTTTATTACTCTTTTCACAACATTAATTATCTTACAGGTCGTATGGAGTGTTATCAACAAATCATTTTGTTCGTTTAAAGTCAAGTAAGTGTACTCTGATTCAATGAATTAATTTATCAGCTTTATTATTAAATTTTAATTTATATTGCAGCACAAAAACACAAAGATTCTGTAAAAATGAATACAACCTGACAGGTTTGTGCAGCAGAGCATCATGCCCTTTGGCAAACAGTCAGTATGCAACAATCAGAGAAGAGAGTGGCATTATTTATCTGTATATGAGAACAGCTGAGAGGTAACTTTTTAATATAGTTTCATAAAATAAAGTTGATCAAGTTTTAACTCAAGTAACTTTTCCCGTTATACATCAGAATTCACTTTCCAAAAAATGCATGGGAAAAAGTTAAGTTATCTCGTAATTTTGAAAAAGCAATTCACCAAATCAATGAGAATTTACTGTACTGGCCATCATTCATTAAAGCAAAATGCAAACAGAGGTTCATCAAAGTTACTCAGTATTTAATCAGAATGAGAAAGTTAAAGCTTAGACGTCAGAAGAAACTTGTACCAATACAAAGAAAAATTGAAAGAAGAGAAACACGTAGGGAAGAAAAAGCTCTTATTGCCGCCAAACTTGACACTAATATAGAAAAGCAGTTGATGGAGAGGTTGAAAAAAGGAGTGGTAAATATTCCTTGCATCTGTTGGAATGAATGTAAGCATTTTATATAAAGTAAGCATGTTGTTGGATTTTTTTTTTTTTCAGTACAAAGATATTTACAACTTTCCACAAAAAGTCTTTGACAAAGCAGTCGAAGCTGTTGAGGTTGAAGGTGAAAGTGAGGAAGAAGAAAGTGAAGAAGTAAGTTCTTGATCTAAAAAACAATTTAACAAAAAAATTTCAATTTATACCATAATTTAATGAAAAACTGTAGGAAACAGAAAAGGAAATCGAAAGAGAAGTGGAAGAGGAGTTGGAGGCTGATGAAGAAGCTGAAACTGGGGCTCATCAATTTATTGCAGCTGATAGCGATGAAGAAGATAGCGATGACGACGAAATGGAATACAATGTATGGTTATTATATGTGTTCCATTTACATTCCATAAACATGTGTCTAATAAAAATATGTTACAGGATGATAGTGATTCTGGTGTCAGGGAAGAAACTGACGTATCTTCTAATTTTGAGTCTGAAGATGAGATCGAGGTGCGTTTATTGATACCCAATCAAACAAGTAGCTATAAGCTTCTTGCTCATTTATACTTTTGTTATTTTTCAGGATACTGTTCCATCAAGTAATAAGAGTAAAATTGCCAAGCCTAAAGTAACCAAGAAATTGAGGAAACGACCTAAGGTTACAGTTGAATATGACGAAATAGAAAACGAATTGGAAGAGGAGAGACGAGTGGAAAGTGTTAGATAGATAAATTATACAATACAAACTTTTAATTAATTTTCCAATAAATTGTTGAAAAAAAAAAATTATTCATTATTGCTTGCACTCGTTTATTTTTTAAAATAAAATATATATTTGAACATTTCAACAGTCGTAAGGAACTACAATATTTTTTTTTATCTTGATTATTGATAACATAAAATACATGAATTCATAATCAAATACTTCCTTAACTATTTTTCGTTAAATACACTCATTGTATACGTAGAAACATAGGTACATTCTTATACAAAAATCATCAAATTTGTTTTTTTACACGTTTTACGTCGAAATTAATATAAAATATGGAAATACTGTTTGCAAAGGAGCTAAAAGCAAAAAAATGCGTCACATCCAGCCCTGTTCGATGTAGGTGAGTACAATTTGATACCATTTGTCAAGACCGAGTTTATTGATTTGACTGCAGAGCACGACTTCCTCGAGCTGGCTGGGATCGTAGGTGCGCTTATCTATCTCGGCGGTAAAAAACTTGATCGCCAAAATGTTGTGGAAAAACTCCAGTCTCGCGTCTATTTTGATCTGCCTGTTGAAAGACTCCCTCGTGAAGAGACTCGCGTCGCATCGGAGCTTCTTGAGAGTCGCCACGAAAGTATCGTAGTAAAGATCGAGGAGCTCGTTGAAGTGTCCGGTTATGACCTCGTGCGTCGTACTGGTGCATAAGAAATACGGTAGATCCCTGAGCGGGCTGTTGTAGACGTAGTTCTGGAAATCGAGAAACTTGACGTCGACGACCTTCGCTCCTTCCTTTTTGAAGAGCACGTTGTTCGTCCTCGAAAAATTAATGGAAATTTCAAGATGATAATGACACAAGGTTCGATTTAACGCACAAACAGTGATAAAACGCTTCATGCGCGGGCAAAGGTGGTGGAGTTTGTGTAAAAATGTTATTTGCGGCATATGATGCCGAGGGAGCAAAATCTCGTCTGGGAGATAAAAAGAATATACTTAGCAATTGAACATGCGATTAAACTAATTGAAAAAAAATTTGTTTTTTTCATGTAGGGATGCACGATTCTTGTTTTAAACTACTTTTTAGATAAAAATACTTATCGGGAATCACTAAATTCTCCCTCAATTTCGTTATCGAAACAAAAAAACAAAGAAAAAAAAGTCTTATAGACTCGTGGTCCTCGTCTTCGAGGGATAACGATAACTATTACAATCCGAGACATTGTAAAAAATATGTCCTACCAAAAGTCGAGATGAGTGAAACTCAACCAAGGCTCCTGGGCTACGTACTCGATGGCCTCGCGCTGACCCTCGGAGCCGCCCAGGAATTTCAAAATCAACTCCCGTAGGCGGGCTAAGCGCTCGTCGGCGAACATCATGTCCAGTAGCAACTGAACAAGGTCAAAGTCCTCTTTGGCCTTGTAGGGTACCGGCACCGCGTGAGCGCGTGCCTCATTGTTGAAGAAATCCGGTCGGTGTTGTTTGCACGCGACGTTGTACGCGTGAAAGCTCGCCAAAGTTTCGATCGTCGCTCTCGTGTGCTCCAGGTCGAGACCTACGGGAAGTTCCGTTAATCATGCGTTGATGCAAATTTTTTTTTTCCTTGAAACAAAAAGCACTAAAATTATCAATTTAAAGTTTTATTTTTAATTAAGTATTATCCGCCAATCCAAATGAAAGAACTTTTTTTTTCTGGAATATTCAGCTTATGATAAAAATTTTATCTACACCACAATTCGTACAAAATTGTTTGTGTGTAGTATATATATATTAGGTAATGTTTAATTAACGTTTTACATCATTATAATAAAAGATGGTACTTTTTCGGAATTCCCCCCCCCCCACCAAAAAAAAAATTATGGTTGTTTAACGTGAATCCCTTTAGTATCAGCAGTAAATGAACCTCCAACACGAATTATGATACTTCTAGAAATTAACCGAAGGGGATGAAAACTCTTTATACACCTAGCCGTATCACACTCTATTTTGGAACGCCACATAACCCTTGTTTTGTATCGTTCCGAAATAGAGTACGTCTCACAATGCAGTGTCTTTTGTATTATGTAGGAAATGTCTCTTCATTCCACTTATTAACCCGCACGTGGAACTGTTACATACTGATTAAGATGCAGGTACAATTTTTTAACACACCGATGGGTGTGTAAGAAGCAAAAGTGTCGAGTGGAAATTAGTTGAAGGAAGAATACGTGGCTCCACAATACAAATTTAAGTTTTGAAACAATTGTATTCTTTATTTACTGTTGATCGAGTTATCATGAGCTCAAATATTTATCATTTCTTTGTTAATCGTGGTTATTGAATTTTATTGCTGTTAATTTTATTATGAGTTTAAATGTTTATTACTTGTTTGTTAAATTTTATTGACATTAATTTTATCATCGGTTCAAAAGAATTCCGAAAAAGTATACCTTCGGAAAAAAACAAAAAAAACTCGCATATAAAAATCCTCGCCGCGCAAAAGCCCGAAACACGTATGCATGTACCTTCGATCTTGTTGCCGGTGTAGTATCCCTTGCTCTGCAGATTGTCCATGAGCACGACCACCCCCTCGTCGACCCTCTCGATTTTCGGATCCACCGAGAGCCGGAAGCCGAAAAACTCGGGCGCCACCTCGAGCGGCGGCTCGTTCGCGCGGTCCGCAAGCTCCTTCAAAACGGGCACGAGCTTGTCGTAAAAGAATATCTCCTTTTTGAAGAACAACTTGAAGTCGAAGACATCCTGGATCACCTCGTCGTAGGGATAGAGCTTGGCGACTAGGTGCAGCTCTTCCTCGTCATCCTCTTGTCCTCCGATGACGTTGACGCGCGCGTCGAGCTTGTAAATCGAGCAGGCAAAGTTCTCGCCGGGCGGCAGAAGCGACGACTGCTGGACGCCGAGCACTTGGACGCGCTCGCCCAGCCTCGGCCGCAGCATTAACTGTAAATCCTCGCGGCCGATTTCACGCTCGTCGACGCCGCTCTTGCTCGCGTTGCTGCTACAGCTACCCGTCATTCTATTTTGTTGTTGTTGTTGTTTTTCTAAGTATTTCTTACCCTGCACCGCAACACCGATGATTGGGCGCTGGACCGTGGACACTTACTCGGTCGACTTGATTGTTGATAAATATTGTTGCAAAACGATGGCACCGCGAGGATAATTGACAGCGCCGCTCGCAGTTTTCTCATCGATCGGAGATTGTAGGGAAAAATCCCAGGGGACCCGACTTTTCGCGATTTTGAAATCGGCCGCAGCATCCAAGCGCGAACAAAGTATCGGGTCGGCGCGCCCGTTATAAACTGCTTGCGCTCGGTGAAACGGTGTTTAGAGAAAAAGAGAACGAACTGCAGAGAAACAAGTATTCTACGAAGAGAGGGAGAGAGAGAGAATATATACGTATATCTTGCCTGTGGATAAGAGAAATGCAGAGAGGCGAGGAGGAGAAAAGAGGGAGGCAGGGGCACTGCACGAGAAAAGATGCATATAAGTACTCGGCTCTCTGTCCACATAGACTGATGACTGAGACTGATTAACGTGTCAAAGTACTTAAATGTATATAGAGCCTGTCTTCTTCTCATGGAACTCGCCAAGGTCACTCGCATGCGTATCGGACTTGCTTGTAGTTTTTCAGTTTTTTAATTATAGGTACATGTACATTTTTTTCCTAATCGTTTCTAAAATTTGTTTTCCTTTGTGTTAAACGTGCAATTCTGATGAGGGGGATGTTTCTCACAATAGAAAAGTCATGGCAGACCTTTGAAACATGAGGTGATAAAATTCAGTTGAACTTAACTGCGCGTGAGTATACATGTTGAAATGAAATTGGTAAAGAGGACAAAAATAACAAATCATTGAAATTTGAAAAAAAAAAAAAAAGCCAGCAATATGGTGCGATACCTTTTATTTTCTCTTAACTTTAGGAATCTTGCGATTTCTATTTCGATTTTTGACATTGCTCACTTCGTAGAAGTTGCTACCGATCTTCTTCCTCTTGGCTGCTCGTTCCATGGCTCTTCTCCGCTTGGCAGTTAACTTGACGTCTTTCTTCAAGTCCGTCACTGTAAACGCGCCACTGGCAGTCTTCGCCTTTGAAGCCTCGGTTTCACTGTCGCTCGAGTCCATTGACTCATCTTCCGGCACATCGTAGGCACTCTGGAATAGTGTGTCTTTCTCGAGTGGCAAACTGATTTCAGCGTCGGAAACATCGTTGTTCTGCTCTGACTCGCTATCCTTTACCACGGATTCCTCGTTTTTGCTGTCGTCAAGCGCAGAAGTACCATTTTCGGATACCACGGACTCATTGTTTTCCGTCTGGGCAGTTTCATTGCTTTCATCTTCGTCTTCGTCTTCGGACAACTCGGAGTCTGGAGCGATCGATGTGCAACGGCTGGCAGCTCTGCTGTCAGTGTCGCAGATGCTCACATCCGGTGTTTCATCGGTTCTCATATCTTCTTTCGAGTAAGGCAATCCCACTCGGATTTTTCTGAAATCTTGTGCTACACCTATTGCAGGCACTTCTGGTTTTTTTGGGGGCTCTTCACCGATTTGGCCATTTGGTTTTATCGCGGCTGAAGAATCATCAGCAGCATTGGATTCGTTCAAAGGTGCTTTTGGAAGGGGCTCTTCGTATCCCGCAGGTACAACGAAGAAGGGCAATTTTCCGCGCTGCCAATCGTTCAGTACCATTCGCGCAACCTGACTGATATCGGGTTCTCCCTTTTTCAACAGTTTACCCGTTCTTTTTGCCAATTTTTCCAAAAAGTCAACATGGTCATTCCACTGCTCAATTTTGTAAGTTTTACTGATATACTCGGGCTTGACTCTCCCAAGAACCGGCTCTATGTAATCTTCCGGAGCATTAATACGTTCTATTCTGACGACACCTTTGAGTACTTTTTCCGTATCTGTCTCAGCTGAAGGATAAACTACACCAGGACAATCAATCAGGTATATTCTTCTCATGAGTGTCACGTACTGCCAGACTTTTGTTTCTCCCGCAACTGGGGCTACTTTGCAAACTTTCTTGGATCTTAGTGTATTGATGATTGAACTTTTGCCGGTATTTGGATATCCAATCAACCCAACGCTGATTTGTTTGCTGTTTTCGTGTAACTTTGCAAACTGACGAAGCAGGTTTATCAATGAGCCCTTACCGAACGGGTGAGTTAGGGAAGCGTGGAATGCAACAGTTGGGTACTCAGAACTGAGTATTGCAACCCACCTCTGTGTTACCCACGTCGGTACAAGATCAACTTTGTTTAACACGAATATCAAGTGTTTGTGAGCTTTCTCATTCTTCAGGTACTTCTCCACGGGAGGTGAACGAGTGCCCATTGGATCTCTAGCATCCAGGACTTGCAGTACAACATCGGAGGAGTCAATGACCTTGTACAGTTCATTCCAAATTCTCTTACTTAAACCAGCACCCATGACCCAGTCTCTCTGCGCATCTCTGATTCCCTCATCTGGTCTAATCATGTCGTGGTCCTTGGTGTCTTTTTCTTTGTCATAGACTTCCATATGTTCCTCTGCTTTTTGGGTTAGCTCATCGTACGAAGATACCGTGATGTTGGGTCGCTTCCTCTGCTTTTTTGGACCAAAAACTTTGTCATAATTTTCTATCTCCAAAATGTGCACCCTTTCGTTTTGAGCTTTCTCTTGTAACAGGGTCACAGGCAGCGTAGAGGGTTTCATGATAACCTGATAGGGATCCTTTTTCACAGCCCCCAATTCCTTCTGGAACTTCTGCAGTGCATTCTGCGAGATCACTCTTGAGTTACCGAACCATCTGGGTGAGGGTTCAACCCTGGCCATCGTGCCCGACTTGTGCCATCCTTGAAAAGGTGCTGGTGTGAGAATTTCTCCAGATTTGTTACGCTTTGCCTTTGAATTGCGATACATCTGCAATCTCTTGATTGTTCCCTTTGTCCTGGGTTTGGCGACACCCTTGAGACCTTCCAACTTTCTTTCTGGATTCATACTGTGGCCAGAGCGATTGAAGCCCTGCTTCCGAGGGGCTTTCACAGCCGAGTGTGTTTTTGCCATTTTGAGCTGAAATAAAATTGACGATATTAGTGGCAACGAAATTGTGGTTATATCATTAAGAATGTTATGTGAATTGTATATTTAATTAAAAATAGGAGAAGTCTCAAATTATCCTTATTTAACCCTGATATTGTTCTAAATCTTTATGGCTACTGAGATTCTACTGAAAATCAATAGTCTCATCTCATTAAATAATCATGCAAAACGAATCAAAGATCGATTGATATTGAAATTGAATTAAAATAACAAATCTGACTCTATGTAATATGTCTTGTGTACAGCATGTGTCTATTATAAACATACACAGTTTGAGCCGAAAATAAATCATCGATGATACTTTGAGCTAAGGTAAATAATTTTGAAAGTGCATATACATGACTTACCTGTTGTTATCGCCAATCTTTTAACCTCAACACATAAAACACCTTAGCCGTCGTCGTCTGTCTACTATAGACACGTGCGCCTCTGCAACGCAACGTGAAGTCAGCTGCGGAACTCCAAAATAGGGAAACCCTAATGTCGGAAAAATCGTGACACCGAATATCGATGAGGTGAATCGACTTACGGCTAACTTAACTCACTTCACCACGAACACAAGCATATATATCACACCGTCGTCTGCAAAGATAAGAAGCAGAACGTAATTTACGTTTGCTCATTTGACAGGTGCATAATATAGACCGCACATGGTTCTATATACTGTACCCATATGCATAGTATAGTAAAAACAATAAGTCTTTTGGTATTAGTAATTTCTCTTGCTAATCAGTGGGAGTGGGAGAGTCTCCCACTGGGAGAGACAGCTTATCTATACATAACAACTCCATGCATAATATGCTCGAGCTCTTTTAGTCATAGTCAGCCAAGAAGATACGTCAGCTGGACAACGTTACAGCGCGCGGTTGTATCAATTTCGTATATACTTAGATACATTTTTGTTTTCTCTCTATCCTTTCCACGTCACTTGCTCCTCTTAATATCGCCTCTCTCACAAAACACCTTTCGCACTGGTGCGTCAAAACACAAAAAAAAAAAAAAAAAAGCCCGAGTGCCAGGACTCCCAGGACATGCTGCTGGTGGACATGCTGTTGTTATGTTGAAGGAGTTTCGGCAGCTGTTGTTGTTGACGAGGCGTTGGCGATACAAGGGTGATCTAGGAGGAAAAAAAACATGGTTTCGATCGTCAAAAATCAGCTGCTCAAGCATTTGTCCAGGTAAACGATAAATTATTTTTTCCTTTCGTCGTATTCCTTATCACCCTGGAGCGTCTATTCGCACGAGCGTATAAGCTTGTTTGTCGATAATTACATGATAACTATGAGCACCTTGTCCATCGCTAGAGACCTTGAGGTGAAATATACAAATTAAACATAATTGCCAACACCTTTCCTTGACTTCTTTTTCCTTTCATTGCGATGTACAGGCGAGCATTAACTGGGAGCTTTCTCTGTGGTCTACTTTGTTTATTTGCACTTTCCTTTTGCTAGACTGCAATGCTAAAAAGCCATTGAATCGTATTAACACACCGTTTTCGTCAAACGTTGAAATTATTCCTTCATAACATTTTTTTTATCTATATGAAGATTAATTATACAATGTAGACATAATTACATTATAATGGTCACCTTTGCTTATCTCGCAAAAAAATGTGTGATTAAAATTAGTTGTGCTTATCTTGAGTTAATTGAATGTTTTCAAGAAAACTGAAACATATTTTTGTTTCAAAGTAGATAAGTTGGTTGAAGAAGTAAAAAGCATGTTCCAAGTTCACTTTATCTGCATCCTCCAACTTTCTCTTGGCTGACATCATAATTGAGTTTTCCCTATGTAGATGAAACTTGTTATTATAGTTAAATAACCTTGAGTCTATTGATAAGTTTTTCAATAAAATTTTTTCGCGTTTTACTTCATCCTGGAATTAAAATTCGCCTTAACAACAATTGTCTACAATTTTTATTTTTTTTTCTTACAGATTTACCAAGAACTTGTCGGCAGATAAAATCAACTTGAGTACATTCAAGGGAGAAGGAGAGCTAACAAACTTAGAGCTCAATGAAATTGTCCTAACTGATTTATTGGAATTGCCGTCATGGCTGAGGCTGACAAGTGCATGGTGCAACAAAGTTACCTTTCGAATTCCGTGGACCAAGTTAAAAAACGTTCCTATATTTTTGGTGAATAAAATTTTAGTAGTAAAATATTTTTTACTGTAAATTAAAAAAGTTATCCAATAACATTTTCATTTATCACTGAATAATATTTATTTTCACAGAAATTGGATGAAGTGAGAATTGAAATAGAAACTTGTGAAGACTTGAGAGATGTATCTTCTCCTCAAGGTTCATCATCAAATGCAGGTCCTACAAAGTACTCCTACATCCACAGAATAATTGACGGAATAACTATCGATGTTAACTTTGTTTGTGTATTGTTTAAAAGTCCAGCATTCATTGCTGAAGTCAAGGTAAATTATTTAAAAGTTTAGAGCTATTTGCAAGTCTTACTACTGATAATGAATGTAACTTTTTTATTGCACAGATTTCTAGAATATTAGTAGAATCAAAGTCTCCAACGTGGCAAAGGTGTGACTTGAGAACAACAAGAGTAAAAGATCCAGACAGGGGCCAACTCTTAATATTTAAAGAATTGGAATGGCAAACCTTAAGAATTGAAGCACAAAGTACTAAAGATAAGAACCTTACACCCCTTCTTCTTCTCACAAACCAAGCACGATGCAGAGTTACTATTAAAAAACGTTTATCCGGTAAATATAAAAAAAGAAAGTAATTTTACCTTATGTGGTTTATATTGATAACTAACACCATTATGTTGTATAGATTGTTTTGTAATGGGGTCACGACTGGTTATTATTCTTGATGATCTCATTTGGGTCTTAACTGACTCTCAATTAAAGGCAGCTTTGCACTTTATTGATTCTCTTGCTGGATTGATAGAAAAGGCAACTGTTTTGGAAAGGAAAACAAAAGCAGCAAGGAAATTAGAGGTGATTATTAAATCAAGAAAAACTCTACTTCTACTACTACAGTTTTTTTTATTAAAAATGTTCTTCGTAATTACAGTTACTCCCAGAATATCAAGCACAAGTATCTCAGCAGACGAGAACGAAAAATCAAAACAACACTGCCATTGCAAAAATATTCAGTAGATATGACTTTGTCGAGACATCTTATCATTTTCTATCTCAGAGAATAGACTTGCATCTCTGTGATGACACGGAGTGTGAGTATCCAAAAAATTGTGCCATCAAAAAAATACATATTCACATAGAAATCCACTTATAACGATGAATTTTCAGCAGGCAGATCCCTCCATCCTGAACTAAAAGAAGGTGGCGCAGTGCGAATCTTGCTGGTCAAATTTCAAGTTGACTACTATCCATATCATTTAGCTTTGGCCGATCGAAAGCACTGGGCCCTCTACAAAGAAAGCGGCACCCCGCACAGTCAGTGGCTGCAGCAGTCTCTGAATTCTTTCCGTGGCCAATTCATGGATCTCATCGATGCCGGCCGTACGCAACAGTCTCCGCTAAACAAGACTCACAGCAACGGTTCTGGTATATTTATTATTATTATTATTATTATTATTATTTTTTTTTTGTCATGAAGATAAATACTTTGAATTTAAAATGTTTATGTATTAAATTTATAGAAAACGACAAAGAAGCGGAGAATCGCGAAAAAGCGTTAAACAATCAAAATCAGAACGTAAATGCTCAGGAGCATAAGAGGGTATCCCAGCAACCTAGCGGGAATCCTGTTAAAAATTACGTATTAGAGCAACTTGCAAAACTGATGACGACGTGTATCATTATCAGAATAGAAGATTTCACGTTGTACAGGGTGTCAACGTCATCAAAAAAGGCTCTGCCCAAGGAATTCATATCAGGTATGTTTACACAATACCAATTTACCAAGTAGTAATTACCAATAGCGTAAAAGACTCCAAGTAACAACAAATTCGATTAATATGTTGAAAAAAATTTTAATTGGAGTCAATAAATATGTAGACTGTTTGATGAATCAATTTAAAAACGAAAAATTTATATTCACATAGCTCAAACGAGGAAGAAACACGGTCCAGGTACAATAAATGATGAAAATCTATAGTATAGCGTTGATTTGGATTTGTTATTGTGTTTTTTTTTTTTTTACTAACAAACGTTTCTTTACACTTGTCTCAGTAGTGATAGAATGTTTTGTTTACGTATTGTGTACGTTAGTCATCACGCAGTTTGCACACATGCCTGCGTACTGTTTACTGTACTATGTAGTTTGAAACGGATGCATTGCACCATCTGAAATACTCATTACATCTTTCTATGGGTCATTCCATTCATGATAGTAACAAGTTTACTTACTGTATTATTAATTATATTATTTTTTAGGTGACCAAGGCAAGTTTCCTTTGCCAGAAGACGTCAACATCATTCACGCTGAGTTTACTTACTACTATTATCCTGGCGATTTGAATTTTCCACGTGAGTAAAAATAAATAATCAATTAACAATGTATCCAATTGTTTTACTTGAAATTTAATTTGGTTATTTTTAGTGCCACCGCCAAAATTTTACGTGCAAGTGAAGCCTATTCAAATAAACTTTGACGTTTGTTCCTGCCTTTGGTTTAACTCGTTCTTTCTTAATTTGTATCACTCGCTTTTAAATAACAGTAACGGTATGACACACCCTTCTTCAGACTTGATGTACTTTGATGTAAAAATCGAAGCAATATTACCGCGAGTAAGTACACGTTTGTTCAAAATTTTTATGACATAAAGAAAAAAATCGATCAACTTAACACTTGTTTTAGATAATATTCGAGAGCCAGCAAGACTATCCCAGTCAAAAAGACAGGCCAAAATCGTTACACGTGCAAACGTCGAGAGCGATCATAACGAACGTCAGGTCGACCGAGCGCTCGTCAAGAGCCGACTTGGCCCAATGCCTCAACGCCTTTCAAATGGGTCAGATGTTCTTCGGGGTCGATTTTCCCAACAAATCAAAGGACTTTCACGTGGTCACCGATAAACTTCTCCAGCACTGCGCCGGCACCGATGGCATCAGATCGATACCGGCGAACTTTTCGAGCAATTCCGTCAACGAGATGATCGGCCAGCTGAGCCGAGGATTGCTCTGGACCGAAGCGAAGGACGTGTGGTGCTGCAATCTCGACCCCGTCTGGGGTGACTTTTTCGGCGCTCGAGCCGTCGGTCAGAATCGTCCGGTGCCCTTTCTCGACGCCTTTCCGCTGACCCTCTGGCTACACATGAGCGACGCGCCGCCGGAATCGTCAAAGGGCGCCGACATACACGGCCTGGCGTACATCAGTAACTTGATTAGCGTGCAAATCAATCACTATCAGTACCTTTTTCTACTTAGGATGTCCGAAACGATATCCGAGCTGGCCACGTACTTGTCCATCGACTCCAACAGAATCTTGAAAGTCGACAACGGTGGTTCGATGGTGATCGGAGCACTGGCTCCGCAGGTCGAGGTGACCTTCATAATGCCATCGCAGACACCGGGCAAGGAAAATTCCGGGGGCGATCTCGAATCCGTAGTGCCCGACACATCGAGCATCATCGACGAAATCGGGGGTGGGAGTGTTTGGCAGAACGCTGCTTCGGCCAGGGTGGATTACAGCACGAAGCGTATGAACACGAGTAACGACGTCGACACGCCGCAGAGCGAGATCTCGTCGATGCTGTCGATGGACTTTGCCGGGCACAACGTTAACGCAGTCACCTCCCAGACGACTGTAGTCACGTTCAAACAGCACAACGGCTCGGAAAGTAGGGTCGAGCAAAAAGCAACGGCGGCGGCGTCGAACGAGCGGCACTCGTGGGTGAGGAGCAACGTGTCCGAGGAGAAGCCCAAATTGACGAAAATGGACTCGGTTACCGGCATCATCCCCAACAATTTCAACGTCAATCTGTCGTCCATGAAAAAAGGCTTTAGTAATTTCATGACGTCGCTCGACTCGGCGCTCAAGCCGTCGCCCGATGACGGCAGCGACACCATATCCATGCAGAGCGACGTTAGTTCCGACAGCGAAAATTATATTGTCGTTTCGCTCGAAGATCAGGAAAAAATGGACGCGGCTTTCAACGTAGACACCTCGATCAAAATAGCAGTCGTCGAGGAGGCGAGTGAGGTCATGGAGGAGACGTTGGACACGCAGAGCGAAAAATCGATGGACAGCGCGTGTAAAAGGAAGGATTTGGTAAGAGAATTTCGGGCACGTGGAAATATATGGAGGAAAAAAAATTTATTAACCTGGTTGAGCGCTATTTTTCCTATTTTTCCGTAGGTGTCCATGACAACGTTCAAGCTCTCGAAAGTGGAAATCATCCAGCAATCGTCCGGCTTTTCTTCGGCAATCAAGGTCCAAGTCTGCAACGTGGCTAACGAGGAGTGCTCTTCCATACCGTGGGATGAGTTCCAGGTAAGTTTGTGGACAATTTTCCAAAAAAAAAAAAAAAGTTTCAAAATCTAATTAATCTTAAAAAAGGTTGTTACTGTCGATAATAAGCTTTTTTTTTTTAAAAAAAAAATTTATAATTTTCAGAGTACCTCTAACACATTTCTCACAACATTACATTTCAAAAGTTATTAATCGAATAAACGTAATCTCCTTTACAGTTTGTGGATCGAATTATTTACTTTTGCAAAGATTAATGTAC